TCTGCGCGGAGCTGGTTCATGTTCCGCAGCGTAGCGGCCTCGTGGCCAGGCAGCTGGAAGCGCAGGACTTCCACCCCAGAAGCCATTGTGGCGGGGGTGGGCAACCCTGGTTGAGAAGGAAACCGGTCAGAGACAAAGGTCTCTGGCTCTCGGAAGCCAAGGCTCCAGGCCCCTCAGGCCCCTCCTCCCCATCCTTGCCCGGCCCACCGGCATCTGATCGCCCCGTCTTCGGGCCTCGTCCTCAGTTTCCCCAGCCCTGCGAGGCGCTGTCCCTCGGAAAGGAGGGAGGCGTGGTTCTCGGGGGCGGGGCAGCAGCGTCCACACCCCCCAGTCCGACAGCCAGCGAAGAAGGGGTGAGCCCGCACACCCGCGAGGGGAGGACGAAAAAAGTGGGGGCAGAGGCATGGGGCTCTGGATTCCAGGTGGCCCCGGGTGCAGGCTCTTCTCACCCCGCCCCTTTACACGCTGCCTCATTCCTCCGCCCCCCCTTACACGTTTGCACGGGCCTCTCACGAGCCAGAGTCAGGATTTGGATCTTCCATCTTGAATGCCATGCTTTGTGTTAACCACATGGTGTTCCAATATATCACTTGGCCCATTTAAACCACATGGATAATTCATTTTTCAACACTCTGGTTATATGTCATCTTAGCTGTCACTTCCATTAGCTGCTTACACACCTGCATGTTGCTCACGCCAGGCTCTATTTCTGCCTGTCCTGACATCAAGAGTAGTGCTCATTAAGCTTTAGAAAAATAATTAATACAACCACCACCGACCCCCCTTTCTTCACCACCACCCCCACGCGGTTAAAGGGCCGGACGGCCTCGCCTCCCCTTTGGCCGGGATTATTTGTCCGCCAGAGCGGAAATAGACTCCACAACCCCCTCTTTCTCGCTCCCCCTCCTCTGTGCCTCTTGGCCCCATGGCCAGTCTGCGCTTGCGTGCCAAGTGCCGCGCGAAGGCCTGCTCGCTCGGGCCCGCCCCCTGCTCTCGGCGGCCCGCAGCGCTCCGCGCCCCCGTACGCCCCACCCACTCCGCGCCCGCCCGCGCGCGCGCCCGCTCTTTGGGTTCCGCGTGGGCCGTGCTGCCACCTGTTCCCAGGGGTAGTGGCGCTCTGGCCCAGCTGTGCAGAGCGGGGGTCCGGGTGCAGCCGCGGCCCTTCGCCAGGCCCCAGACCGCTGCACCACCATCAGCGCTGCCGTCGCTGTCGCCCACTCGTGCATCTCCTGCCGACTATGCTCACAGTTCCTTCAGCCACGCTTCCAGACTTTCCCAACTCTTCTGCAGGGTTGGAGCCTCTGCCTAAGGCTTTACGTCCCGCAAAGCCAGACAAGCCGGTGCCTTCAGCTTTCCTCCACCCCAGGTCACAATCATCTTCAGTGACACCTGTCCTTTTCTGCATTCTCAGG